GATATTGAGAATATTCTAGGTTAATTTGTGCCAGCCTTTTTCCCTTCTTCCACTACCCCCTTTTTTGTTACAAACTCCTAGTGTTAGTGTCCTGGTTAGAACGGCTGGGACCAATTCATCCCTGGATGGGTGTAACCCAAAACTGTGTATTCTATAGCCTCCATGCCATTTCCCAAAAACTGCTGTCAGTAGAGGCCTGCAAGGTGGGAAGATGTTCCTGTACCCTTTTATGGAATTCCCCGCTCTGATATCCTTATATGGAATTCCCCGCTCTGATAAGAGGGACTGAGCATCCACATGCCCTTTTATGGAATTCCCTACTCTGAGGGAGGGACTGAGCACTCCCGCCTGAACTGGAGAGTATATAACTGGGAGTTTCAGAGCCTTGGGGCTCTCTCTCGTGGGACCCAGAGGAAGACAGCAGACCACCGCTGCTCCCAACCAGGCTGAGACCACCACCCTCAACTGGACTGCAATCACCACTTCTGACCAGACTGCAGCAGCTCTCCCACCAGCAGGTTTTTTTTCCCCTCTCCCTTTGCTTTGGACTTGGGGGTGGGCCAAGGTACACCACTTTTGTTCATACCCCAGGGTGCTGGGTTGTACTTTTGGGTTTTGTGGGTTAAAACCAATTGTCTGTCTGTATAATTGTACTTATTGCATTATTTTAATAAATTGTTATTCTGACTTATAAATCTCTCTTTTGAATTGAGTTCATTTTCCCTTGCTGGTTAACTTTTAAACCAGCACAGTTAGAGATGCTTCTCAGGTCCCTGGCTCAGCAAACTTGGGACAGAAATAGTTTTAACACAATGGAGCATCCCTTTCTGTCATGCTCAAAGATCTATAATACCCAAAAAACTTATTTCATTTAAGTAATTTATGAACTACTTTATGGATAGATTTTTGTCTTTTGTCCCAAAATCCCAGATCCCTTCCTTCTAAAAAAAGGGAGGCGAAAGAGCAAACATTGCAAACCTATGATCCTCCCATAGCAAATCTTTAAATATCTAAGGGAATATGAATCACACAAATGCAGAATTGTAAAAATCCAGAGCTTTTCCATACCCCTCTCTTCAGGTGGGGTTGTTTCACCTCAATATTTTAGCCAAATACCTCTTAAAGTAACAAAATTCTTGCCCAGATGTCCCAGGCAATTACATACTGTCTAGCTGTTAAAATGACGTCATTTGTCATTAGCACATCTCATCATCTAGAAGGTGGCTGGAGGAAATATTTAATAATCTCCAAAGCCACACAAAATTCTCGCAGATTCCTGAATTTCCACTTTTTCTTAAGTTCACTGGGCACCTAAACTGGATTTTGGGGCAAACCGACCCGACTTTACAAAGCAAAACGCAGACACTCTACCATGACAAGAGGCAAGTCCATCAGCAGCAAAAAAGGCAGCCAGAACTTAAGCTCCAGAACTGCTGAAGCTGCAGGCAAACTTGTCAGGCTCCATCACTTCCCTGTTTGAAGAACAGATTATTTCTTAAGGCCAGGGAACAGCACAAAATTTACCTGCAACGTCCTTTGTGACAACCTGAGCTGGATAGCAAGGCCAGAACTCCCAAAGGTCCTTCAGACAGTGACCACTCATGCAGGCTGAGCTGTGGCTTTTCTCCAGAAGAAGCATTCACAAAGCTTGTTCTCTCAGAATGTTAGGAAATCTCTTTACACAGAAGAGGTGCTTCTCAGTGACGGGCAAGATCACCACTGGCCAAAGCAAAATCCTGGGCTAAGATGGCATCTATTTCATGCATTTTTCCCTACAAACTTGAAGTTCCTTCTAAGCCTCTCTTCTTTTGTGCATCAGTAGGCAATCTGGCCTATGCAGCAGTCCACTGAGGCAAAATGCCATAAGGGCATTTGAAATCAAGGGCAGAAAAAAAGGAGGAATGGACAACTGACAGATAAGATGTAGAGACTACTTCCTGATTTAATGTGATACTGAATGCAGTCAAAGATCCAGACCTAATCATTTGTCATTCACTCCAGGTTAATGTTACCCGTCCTTAATAAGCATGGAGGGAATGCTCAGCAGGAACATCTTCAGGGAAATATTCTTGCTCGTGGAGCAGCTGCAAACTGCATGATTCTTGATTTTTTTTTCTTGTGTCAGTGCACTTCATGACATACTTCAGTCTACAGAAGAAAGATGCCAGAAGATACTTCCATAGACTAAATCATAGCCCATCAGTTCCTGCTCCAGCTCCTGCTGTACTACTGCATTAAAGCTACACCACAGCTAGAGAAACTAGGGGAAAAGTCTCCTGTTACATTAGCAGAACAGAGCCAATATAATTTAAGTTTGATGCCTTCTCAGTTCCCAAAGGCATCAGTAAAGGCAGCATTCCTTACAGGGCTATGTACCGCAGGGAACTGAGTATATACAGTCCAAAGCAGAATCACCCAGGCTTCTGCACAAGAATTATTTCCACTCTAGAATCCTTCAGAATAGTGACTAAGCTAAGAGCCATCTTTCCTCGCTTCTCAACCGACTGCACTTATGTTTTAGCTTTTAGAAGCTCAGAACAAAATTTAGCTTTCTAAGTGAGGAAAGGGTATGTTTAGTTATTCTAGCAGGGGGCACCACCTGAAACCCAGGATGCACTTGTACCCATCTCTAGGCAGGACAAACCTGATGTGAGACTGCAGTAGCTCTAACTCATGCTCCAGGAGATTTTGTTGCTCTAACTCTATGTTCCAGGACCCCTACCCCACTTCCTGCATACCCACATGATTTAAAAAATCAATCAGCACTGAACTACTGTTTTGAGTTTCCTTTGAAACATCTAGTACTGGTGAAAGGTTCTGCAGAGAACTATTATCTTTTTACTTCTTCCCAAGCCAAGAGCAGTATGAGCAGTGGCTATCCAAGTTCCCAGTAGGGAAGAGGAGTTACAAGAACAAAATTTAAGGATGAGAGGAGATTGTAGCCTTCTTGATCCGCTGGATATTTGCTCAGGTTCCTCACTTGTGAGGCTTTTATCTTCCAACGCGTCTGAGGCATAGGTGCTGTAGAACAGACTGGAGTACAATAAATCTTGTCTCCTGCAAGTTGGAGGCTGTGTTTGTTTTCATTTACTGAGCAAAATAAATATCATCAGTTGGGAGATTAGGGAGATAGTTAATGACCCACAGTGAAGACAGGGACAGGAAGTGCAGCCTGTGCTGCACTGGAAAAAGATGCAAAGTGGTTCTGTTTTGCATTTTAGATCTCCCAGACACACATCTGTGGATAAGACTTAGGTAAATAAAAGTCCTACTATTAATAGCCCAACCTTCGAGAGCAGATCAAAGAAGAGGTGAATGGAGCTGCAGCTGCTTCGACTATATAACTTGTACTCTACCCACCTCTTTTTATCTTAGCAAGGACAATGACAGGAGTGAAATGGAAAAAGAGGAGTCTAAATACTTTCTGTATGCAAAATGAGTAGATTTAGGAACCCCAGAACACTTTCTTCTTGGAAACATTTTAAATTTCTGCTCATTTGTATTTTTGGAGTGGAAATATACTGCACTTCACAAAAAACCTGCACCAGTGCAAACCACTTTGGCTTCAATAAAAGCAAAATGTAAAGTATTTGACACAGAAAATAAGAAAGATATTGGAAAACAAGATCACATGGAACTTGTGAAGTATCTTTTGTACTAACAGATTATATTAATTGCCCTGCAGGTATAAAACAAAGAAAATCTAATTTCCAGGAAAGATGATCTCTGAACTCCTGATCGGAATTTAAAACCAACCAACCAACCAACCAACCAAAAAAACAACAAAAAAACCAACTTTGCAAGTTCTTCCTTGGAGAACAGCCATGGAGTCTCCCACCTGGGAGATCTGAGCAGAACACAAATGCTGCAAGAAGGGTTAAGCCAGGCTAGCTTGCAGGTATCTCATTTTTGCTTAGACCCTGTACTGCATGCCAGTAAAGAAATGCCTTTATCATAGGAAGAGTCATTCTGGAACCAGCTGCCGTACAGTGGTGGGTGGCACGGTACAGGACTGCCCTTGGGCTGTTTACCCCAGGAGAAGAAGTGATGGGCATGGCCCAGCTCCACAGCCAGTCCCAGATGGATGGAGCCTGGAGTCCAAGGCAGGGGAGAGGGTGCAGTTATTTTATCTGTGCTGCCCAGCACTGCACCAGGGATGCCATGTGGATGATCCAAGTTGCTCAGAAGCTGGCTTAAAGATGTTTCAAAGGCATTACACTTGCTCCTGTAGAATCACCTTAGCACCTTCAGCTCAAAGGTCTTGCTGGAATTTAATGTGGAATTGCAGCTGCTATTTATCTCACATCTTGCTATTGGGGAATACCAGGTTGCAATCACGGACTTGTATCTAACATGTTAAATATAGTTTTAAAAGACAAAAGGACAGATGCATAATTAAGGTGCCAAGATGCATTAACAAATTTTCTTGCTTTGTTCAAGCAATTGACATCCTGAGTAATAGTCACAAAACAGAGAATTGCACCCCAGAATAAAAAAGCTTTAAGACTTTGTCCTGGTTTCAGCTGGGGTAGAGTTAATAATCTTCTTAGCAGCTGGTTCAGTGCTGTGTCTTGGATTTAGTACGAGAATAATGTTGATAACACACCGATATTTTAGTTGTTGCTAAGTAGTGCTCACTCTAAATCAAGGACATTCCAATTTCCCATGCTCCACCAGCGCAAGAAGCTGGGAGGAAACCAGGCCAGGACAGCTGACCTGAACTGGCCAAATGAATATTCCATACCATAATTAATCACGCTTAGTATCAACTTGGGGAAGAAGGGCAGGAGGAGCTGACGACTGATCGGGGATGGGATGGGCATTGGTCAGCGAGTGATGATGATTGTATTGTGCATCACTTGTTTTTCTTGGGTTTTATTCTCCTCCCTCTTTTTTGTTATTTCCCATTTCATCACAGTTATTATTATTATTATATTTCACCTTATTTAGTTATTAAACTGTTCTTATCTCAGTTCGTGTGTTGAGATAACCCCTTTTCCAGTTCTCCTCTTCATCCCACTGAGGGGCAATGGGGGGAATGAGCAAGCAGCTGTGTGGTACTTATTTGCCAGCTGGGGTTAAACCACAACATACTTGTAACTTCATCCTCCACCTGACTGATCTGCAGAAGCTAACTCTATAGTACCTTTCTTACTAAGATTATTGGGCCCAAAAATCCCTGGGCAACCAAGAAGCTTCATTCATATTCAACAGGTTTTTTATTCTGCTACTCTGTGTCACACCAATGAGCAGCCAGAGAAAGATGTTTGTTCGACTTGTGTTATAGAGGGGTTGTTTTAATGTTTTCTATGTCAGTCTTATGTTGGGGCTTCTTGGTTCTTCTTCGTGACACAAGGCAGACAAGTAAAGAACCCAACAGGACTCCGGCTATTGCAGCCACAATGACAGTCCAGTAAGGGACGGAAGGTTCAGATTTCTCCAAGCTGAGGTCTGAATTTCCAAATCCACTATTTCTCCGTGTGAAAAGAAAAGGTTTCTCCTACAAAGGGAGAGCAAAGGTTTTATTGACCACAGATCACTCAACAGGCAGCATTCCAACAATATGCCACTACCCCTTCCCAGAGAGGAATTGTTGATCTTTAGACAATCAGCTGTTGCTGCCTTCTCTCTATCTTAGACCAAACTCTTCCCTGCTTTATTGCCTGAAAGTTCCTAGAACAAAAAAAAAGGAGCCATCTCAGAATCAGGAGTGATGGCATCATTTCCTAATTTGCTTGTCGCAGACAACCAAATGGAAATACATAGGCTCATTAGAACTGACTTAAATGAGAGGATTTCCACTGCAATGAGGATAATTTTTTTAGTCTTAAATCTTAAGTAGATTTCTCTGTCTCTAACAAAATAGGAGTGTATTTCAGCTATTTAAAGCCTTCACAAACATAGTCTCTTAAAGAGTTTTACTAAAGAGAAGAAAGGAGAAAAATAGAAGTAGTTAATGGAGAGGACACCTTGGCCTTTACTTACTGGGTTTGGACACTTGAGTTTTGATCTGTCATAGGTAAAGTTGTTGTAAGTCTGCTTTTCACCAACTGGCTCCAGCTGAAGAAGAGAAAAGCAACAGTAAACAATGATGAATTTTTTTCCTTCTCAGACTCTCTTGACTTAAGCAGTTACAACTTCTTATCCAATCTTTTGGCACTTGCAGTAATGAAGAAATGTGGTAGAAGGTGCACGGGAATGTTCGCAAACATTTTAACCCTCATGAACTGAAGACATTGAGAATCTGATGTACTGGCTGCAGAAAAACTCCCTTGGAAGCAAGGAATAGAAGAAGCTTTTCCTCCTTTTGTATCACTCTGAATACCACATACTTTAAATATTCTGCTAAAACAAAGTGGGTTACTATATATCGTTCTCCCATGTGCACATCTCAAATGGCAGTATAAACCACAATGAAAAACACCCCACACGATAGATGTTAGACATGTTACCTAGCACATTACTTAAAGAAAGATGCCTAGGTGTCATGGCAATGCGAGTGACTTCAGAAATGACGTAGAGTTGCAGAGACAGAATGCGATGGTGCCAACCTTTGCAGTCTTCACTCAGACAGGAAATTCCCTGGGAGTTATAGCTGAGGCTGGGTTCACAAGATTGCAAGAAGTGAGTTAAACAGAGCCTTTTATATTATCAGTTGTCAGCTAAATTGCAATAGCTGACCATAGGCTTACCTCAAGCCCATTTCAAACTCAACATAAAATATGTCCAGGCCAATAGCAGAGCAGTTGTGTTTGGCTAGGAGTGCACATATCACCAGTTCCCATAGTTAAACTAACGAGTACAGGCTTGCTCAGTCATGTTAACTGAAGTGTTTACAATTGTTGTATGGACATGCCTGAAGTAATGACTTCAAGACTGGCCCATAGGAAACTGCAGAGTTGTCATCCAGCACTTCAGAGAATATAGCACAGAGGACTGCTGTTGCTTCTGCTATTGTCCATACAGGCATTTACTGTCCTCAAGGGATTAAAGTGTCAGCTGTATGCTGAAAAGAAACAATACTGCAACAAGCCCAACACAACATGGAAGAAAACAATTTCTATCCATAGGATTCCCATATGGAAATACTGGGAATACCTCCTCTCTCTAGTTCAGTTAAAAAAAAAAAGGAAAAAAAAAGAAAGAAGGTAGTACAGACTGAAAAATAAAAAGAGATGAACCACATTAAAATATGACTAGGGAAGGGAAGAAAGCTAACTGGCGAAGAGAAGATGAGAAGCAAAACAGAATGCCAGATTTTGCTAGTGGTTGTGAGTTCCTGCTGGACTCTTACATGAGTCCTAATCCCTTGGCCAGCCCACCAGCTAAGGTGGTGAAGACTGAAACTGCTAGTTTTGTTGCACCTTAAAGGGAACAGCTCAGATTCTGATGCGGTTGTTGGTAAGATGTGTGGCTCATGTTTTGTAGCATTCTGCCTGCAGTGAGACTGGTTATTTGTAGATAATTGTAACACTCCCCTTTCCAGGGCACTTGGTAAGGATTCTGGCACAGAGCCCAGATGAAAGATAATAAAGTGCAAAATTCTGCAACCATCCATGCTTACTTCATCTCTATGCAACCTGTTCTTCAGAAGCATTAGCTTCTGAGCTTTGAAGATGACAGTAACTCCAAGTCCACGAGCGGATAGGACAACTTCTAGAAGAAACACACAGCTACTCTAGAGCACGTGCCAAGCATGGAGGCAGAACACAAGCTAAACACACAGAGTCCATGTGCTCTTCACCTGGGCTAGAGAACTGAAGAGGTGGATCTGGGACCAGTGGAAGCCCCTTAGGATTAGAGAGTCCTCTGACTTCAGAGAGCAGGAGCACGCTTGGCTTTGCACAAAGCAAAAGAGGCAAAGAACATTATGGTGGGGGATAGTCTCCTTAAGCCATCCCGATCCCTGTACACCCACATGGTGGCCAGGCACAGTTTGGCCCTTTATGTGTACTGACAAGAATCCATGCCATTTGGCCATAAGGCTACAGCCTGCTGAGCTTTTCAGAGAACAGGGAAACAATACAGCCTTACAGTAAGCTTGCACAGCCTTTCCGTACATGGACTGCAAGTGAAAAGCAGGGATGTGTTACAAGAACCAGATTTAAATAGTAAACAGTAATATCTTCAGTTGGCATACACCAACAGATCTCTGCGGGAGGGAATAGTTATGCTTCACATCAGTAGGACTCTGATCCCTCCTGCAGTAGAAAGCCTTCTGTCAATATCCTTACACGCGTAGGAATTGAGTGACAGTCTGGACAGAATAAAACTTCGATGGCATAGAAAAAAAAGACTGATGGTGATTCAGGAATGAGTAATGGCCAATAGGAATACCACATGGCAACAGAAACCCAATTTAAGGCTACCATATGTCCAGATATCATCTTTTTTCTTCTTGAAACCTTCAGCCATACTCAATTTGAATTTTTTTCTACATTTGCCTGGGGTTTCTGGGCCACCATTAGCCCTGTTTAAGCTATGAAACACAGTGAAGCCTACCACCCTGCTGTCATCTGGAGTCCCATACAGGGAAGGCTGATGGAAAACAGGCAGATTTGCTGCACGTGCACAAATCAATTATTCCGAGTGTGTTCATTGTATGTCCACTGCTTTCTATAACCCTGAACCTACAGCTCTTATGCCATACTGGGCAACTGCAAGATTTCTGCCCTGTGTTTCCCAGTCCTTATGCTCCAGCTTATTCTGGGGTATCCTGTAAGTTTCTTATCTTGCTAAAACTTTTACTTCAATGGAAAAAAATTCCTCTCCATTTATGGTTGTTTCTTGTACAAACCAGGATACACGATTTCTGCTTGCATGATGTATTTGGGTACTGGTGTTTATGAGACAAGAGGAGTAAATGTTGCTATGGCATGAAAACGCTATAGTCTTCCTTCCAGCATGGGGAAACATCATGTTTCTGAAAGCAACTGTGATCTTGGAGTTATCAAGTCTAGCATGTGCCTCTTACACACTCTTCCAACGCTGTTAAAAAGCTATCATTTTCCCCAAAATGACGGAAGGAATGTGACTACAAGCAGAGGCATCATAGTTTTAATGAGCCCCCCGTTAGTTTCAGTGACTCTACTAGAGTTATCTCAGATACTAGAGTGGGTGGTACAACATGTCCACACTATTAATGGCAGCAAAAATTCAGTCACATATATGTTTTCCTGTTAAATGTAACAGAATTCACTGAAGAAGGGCAAGCTCATTGAACAGACATTTTCAGAAAACCTACAGGACCAAATGTTTAACTAGGATGATTTTTTGCTTTAATGCAAGTTATTTACCAAATCACAAAGGAATTTTTTCTTACCTTAAGACTCTCAGGATTTCTCATTTTGAATGAGCAAAGACCTACGCTGTTTCATGCAATGTGATCACTTTGGATTGTGTTCCTAAGCAATGCAGACTGAAAAGAGTCTTAGAACTGAGCAGCCCCCCCTTGTTAGGATATCAATTTTATGTCTTCCTTGCTCTTTTGTTTCAGACACCTTTATCATGATCTTTGTAGGGACTGCTACCACAACCACATAGGGAACTGGATTGTAGCCTCTTACCATGTTATTCCAGAGAGCCATGGCCATCTCAGCATAGCCTCTTACACTGAAATGAAAGCAATCTGCAGCAAAGAAACTCAGATCTGGCCTGCTGGTCTGCAATAAAAGCAAAAATGTATTTCTCAGCACATTTCAGTCTTTGAGATCTGCCATATTATATCTCATATTGTACTGTACTTGATATACCCGCTTCACAATTTTGGTTATCTTCCTAAAGGCAATATGTTCATATTTTGACACTGCAAATCAACTTAGGTAGTCCTAACTGTCGGATGATTACTGCACCTTGAGACCTCCTGTGTAACACAGCTTGCTCAATTTCACACAGCAATTTTCATAGCAAAACTAAACTTCTCTTTAAACAATAGTCACAGCTGTTACACTGCCATTGACCCACACTCCACTTTGTACAGAACTGATAGAAAACTGCTTATTATGGCTTTTTAAACTTCCATAACTCAGACTTACAACCTTTCAGGTGTTGAAATTTCTGCTGAATTTCAGGCAACAATAAAAGTGGTGGGCTTATCCAGCTGTGGCAAATGTCTATCTTAGGAGGAATTTGCCTCACCTCATCACTACCTGTATGGTGACCATTGTTCAAACTTGAAGGCTGACAGAAAAAAACAGGGATGGTATGACAAAAACATCAGTATTATGCAAAACTGGGTGGTTTTGACCAGGATTCATGCTGAATATTTGTATCCTTAACTACACAGCATACATAATACTAAGGCTGGAGAAAAGAAGGAGAATCAATGTTTGGTTTCAAAGGCTGTTCCCTGTTTCCAGGTTGGAATGAGTCAGGCATTCAAGTGCTGGTCTCCATTTGGAGAAATCCTGAACATATTCCACAATCTAGATGAGAAGAAATTTGAGTGCAAATCAACCCCTTCAATAGGGGAAGCAACATGCAGTTTAGAGGGAGACAGAGTGCCTAGGTTTAATGTGTACTCAACTGTGAATGTTTCCTAAAGCTATATTGATTCACAGGCAGCACAGTCTTTCCTTGTCTTCTCCTCTGTCACCTCTTATCACAGGTTCCACCCTGTGCTGCTAGACTGTGCAAAGAGAAGAAAACACAGTCCTTGTGGCATGGATCTTACTGACTTAAAAGAAATCAAGACACTGGCCCTTATATAATAGGAAAGAAAAACAGGACTCACGTTATCCAGGGGCAACAAGGTGTTTCGGAAAAACGGCTGTGTGACAACGGCAAAGTCCTCACGGTTTTCATACCGACCGCTGTTGATCAGCTGCAAGACTTCAGCCTGTAGGGAGTGTAATTATTGGAAACAGAAAACTTACTTGCAAGGCTCATCTAGCATTTGTCAGCCATCAAAAACATGCATATTACACTTCTTTCAGTGTAGGAAGCCATGAATTATTAGTATAAATCCAGTTAAATGTTATAAAGCAGTCGAGAAAATGGCTAAGAAAACAATTTGCTTCATGAAGAGATTTTCATGAGGAAAATGCACAGAAGCTGGGTTAATTCAAATAAATATAAAAATAAAAAATAATAAAGCTGCTTAATTAAAAGAAAAAAAAAGGAAAAAAGCTATTCAGTCCTTACTCATAGAAACCAATCTACACAATTGCAATGAGATTAAAATTTACAAAGAATTATAAAAAAGGAATAAGACCAAAATTTTTAGAAGTGACAAATGAGTTCAGAATGCCAACTTGAGGCTGAAGTGCATTTGACTTTCCAGAAAGGTGTGCTTGAATTAAAATAAAACTTAAACATTGAAGAATTACCTGCCACTTTCAAAAACTATAGTCACAGACATTGAGATGGACAAAAAACCCCATCTCGTTACTACTTGCCATCTTATGGGTATAAACTCCAATGCTCCTGATCATATCTCAAAACGTTCCTGACCCCACTTCCATAGTTAAGGAAAATGACCCCTCTAGTAGGCTTATACTAGCACTATCCATTTTTTTAATTTTTCGAGCTTTGTCAGATTCACTGGACAACATCCGCTGCCAGAGCCAGAATGGAGGACTGGATAACTCAGTGTGATCTGATACAGTGATTCCTGTATTCATAGAACATCAATGGAAAAAGCTTCTACTCCAATAGCTATTTATAGCCTCTTAATTTTGAGTCAATCTTATGCCTGAGGCTGTGAACAGTTACTCTCAGATAGCAAGCTGACCCATGGTTGGTTTAGTTATTTTTTTCTGCCAAAGGTAACCACAAAGCAACTGATGCAGGGTAATTTGTCACTCTTGCAATGACATGTTAATTCATGTGAGCTATTCATTGGGTTCATAACAGGCAAACACATATCAGCAAAGCAGCCATCATCACTAACTCCTTCTCGGCTGCTGAAACAGCAGTTGGAAACAGAAATGGTCTTGATCTGCATCCAGCTCAGAACCGAGGACAAATCATTAGGAAATGTGGAAAGACTTGGACTGCTACTATCTGGTTATCTAGGTAGAGTTTTGATTAGGTTGTATCCAAGCTATTTCCAGGTTACCCCTCTCTGTCCTGCTGAGGATATGCATGAGAGGAAGGGTAGTAGGGAAGCAATATAAAGAGACTCAAATGAAGATGACCAGTTACAGAATCAAAGTATTACCTGAAAATCTCTGTTAACTCTTTTAATTTCTTGTAGTTCAGGAGAATTTTCCTCAGGGTTTAAGAAACATGGACAAATTTTCCTTCAATGAAAGAAATACTAGAATTAAAAGCCAATCTTGAATAGCTTATTTGCAGTTCTTCAGCAATGTGTGCTTCACATCAAGAAGCTCAGGATGGGTGCTCAAAGCTCACATGCAGAGGGAGAACCCCCTCATTGGCTTAGAAATGAACAGATATTTCAGAAAAAAATCCCTACTGACTGTTCAAAACGAACACCTCTCACAGCTGGTAAAAGCTGTGAGATCCACAATTCTTGAGTCAAACACAGAAGTGTGTAGTATGCCACATTATTAGCAGGAAATCACATGTGTTAGGATATTAAAAAAACCACTCCCTACAAATAAGCTTACAGCAGATCTTCAGGTGTCTGGGAGTTTAAAGTTGAAAAAGACAAATTGTTCATGTAGTCTGAATCCTTGCACCACTGTGTTTTATTTTGTTACTCCTATATTAAGAGGTAATAACTTGTGCTTCACTGAAATGCATCCTCTAAGAATGTGCTTGGAATGAATATGAAGACATCAAGCAAGACAGTCAATTCGTTAATTTCCCTTCTAGTGTGTTCCAATAGTTAATCACTTGTATTATTAAAAATCTGTGCCTAACTTTATCTGAATTCATTCGGCATCAGCTTCCAACTACCAGCCTTTGTTATACCTTTCTCTGCTAGACTAAAGAGCCTTTTCATGTCCGTTCTGGCTCCCGTAAAGGCACTGCTGCTTTCCAAAATGAGACCCTCAACTTTCTTTGAGGTAGGATTTTGGTGTCCTCCATTAGGTGTGAAAAGCTGTTCCCTGTTGTGCACTGTGCTGTGTGCAGCCCAGCCTGCACCATAGGTAACGCAGCACTGGGTACAAGGAGAGGCATCAGGGACGTCAGCCTATGCTGCTGACCAGAGAATGGCTGGGCAAAAAAGGCTTTGAAATTCAGTGGTACAACAGTTACATGTTGACTTGTGCTGTGACGTGCTACCTTAGAGCTCAGAAGTGATAACTCCACTATCTACAGGTGCATGCCTTTTAGGTGAAGTATTGGAAGAAGTCATAGGAAGTTGATGGGACCTAGTGCATCAGGTAAAGGCTGCAATGCAAGTAGCTTGGAAAGTTCAGTGTGGATACCTACTATAGAAATTGAGATTGAGCCAAAAAATTATCACTTTAAAGGCAAAGACCTGTTTTGCTCACTTACTTTGCTGTCAAAGCACACCGTGAAAAGCTTGCTGTGATCTGACGCAGTCCAGAAACCTCTAGCATCTCCACCATGTTGATAAAGACTCTTGGGAGCTGCAAGGATTATAATAACCAGACACACCAAATAACAGAACATGATACCACTACAAAGAGAGCAAGAAGTGCCATCCGTAGGTCAGGGAGTCAGTGCAAACTGCACCGACTGCAGCCGATGGCATGTGCAGAGATGATGTATAAAGAGAGGGGGAGGGACACATACAGTGGATGTCAGCCAAAAAAAATTCCAGCAGCTAGTACAAACTAGCTGAAATGCCACTTCACTCCCTGGGACACTTCCATTTGCTCTAAGGTAGATGAAACTGTGTAAGGGTTGGTTTAGTCACCAAAACTGGCAGTAGGATCACATATGTTTTGTTCACAGAATAAGCACTGCGAAACACACTTTTCCTGAAACTGCAGCCCACTTTCTCAGGGCATTAGCTAATACAGTTGTTGAAATGCAGCACTGAGGAGCAGTCTGACTCCAGCTATTTGAAAGATGACCTTGTATGAAACATAATCACTGACAGTCTACCAGAGGTGGAAAAAACGTCAGTGTGCTTGCCAGGAACATAGCTTATCTTAAAAGCTTACCTCCTCATAGAAAATATCCAGAGTGTCCTGAAGGTGCTTTACATACTTTTGCACTGAATTGGTTTCCTATGTTAAAAAGAAAGAAAAAAAATTGGATCAGTCTTTTTTCAGGAACTAAGAAGGTGGTCCATGAGAAGATATACCAACTCAATGCTCCTTTTTCCTTTTTTGGCAAATGTATTTTCAGATCAAGAAATTTATTGCCACATGTACAGAGGTTATATAGTGCTTGTACAGAGGTTATATAGTGCTTGTGTTTCTATGTCACTAATATATTCCCCTAATCCCTGCAGAAAATCCCAAGTTATTTTGGCAGAATCTTTCCCTGATGAATGACTATTTAGATCACATCTTTGGATATCGTGTTGTCTTTTATGTGACCCAGACAGATTTGGTTGCCTTATGAATAGAATGATACCTTTTTTCCCAAACTGCCAATCTGGGGAAATTGAGATGAAGGCAGTCAGACCCCAAAAAATCCATAAGCAAAACAACTTTGTAACTATAGTTATAGAGGTGAAGTTGAGGGGACAAAGGCTTCAGGCAGCAGCCTGTAAAGGAAAAAGAGCAAAACAGAGAACAGTGTCTGGTCACTTCAATAAGCTAGGGTCCAGACCTCCAGTCTGTGCCACATAGACTGTTTCAGAGGGGATGACCACAGATAGCTAGAGAAAAGACATCTTTTTCTCTATAAACTGATATTATTTCTTTTGGTGTCACTCTGAAGCATTCTCAGTAATTATTGTGTGGTGATGCTTTCCAGAAAACTTCATTTGTGTCCCATAAAAACATTCCTAAGACATCACATTGATTGCTTTGTCCAGTTAAGCAGGGAGTTTATTCTTGGTATTTTGTTCGATATAGGGCAGGTTCCTATTTTTAAATAATGCGTTTCTCCAGAGCTGCAGTGCCCCAGTATTAAAAGCTGTGCACTTGTTTCTGATACAATACAAATGAAAGGAGCTGGACTTTAAGTGCTTTTTAAACAAACAGGAACTTTGGCTCCCTGAGAGAGAGAAAGGTTATATTTCCAGGGCTGGTCATCTGCCAAATACCTGGATAAGCATGTCTGATTCAGAGATACAAACCTTGTCCAAGCAGTACTGGCACAGGTCGTTGCCTCCAACAAGGACAGTGATCAGCTTCCAGTCTTCCTTGAAGTTAATTTTCTAGTGGCACATAAAACAAACAGATTGTAGCATCCATTGCTTAGGCATACAGAGGTAACATTCACAGATGGGGCTAAATGGGGCACAGACAGCAGGACAAAACAAAGGAGGTATGCTCAGTTAAGTAGGCAAAAGAAAAGCATCTCTCCAGGGGAAAAGAGTGAACTGTTTGCTAGTCTACTGCAATTCACTTTGGCTTTTCTGAGAAAATTCCCTTCAGCAGACAAGATCTGTCAGTGTAACCAAGCATGGAAATGTGTCTGTGACAGCAAGCGTCCCTAAATGAAAGTTACCTTCAGGACAGGGATGGACAGGAGAGATTTGCCAGCCATGGTTGAACACTGCAGGCAGCGTGGGGATAAAGCAGTGTGGGAGTGGAGGCTGGAGTGACTCATGAAGCTGTGGAACTGGAGCTGCTGGGGATCCCTGCCAGCTGGGCAAGTATTACCCCATGGCCAGGAGGGGCGAGGAGTGCCCCGGGGAATAGACAGCTGGATTAAAATAGAAGAGTCCAGGAGGCTGGTGACTTCACTGAGCTCATATAAGGGCAGCTGCAGCATCCACGTCACCACAAGCTAACAATAGGCGCTGCTGAGAGCTGGATCTCATCAAAACATTTTGTAACATTCAGGACAAAGAAAGGAATCAAAGGCAACTATTTTTAGTGTGGTGCATTTACATAACAAACATCTGCGAAAGGATCCCACAAATAGAGGGAGGGCCTGGGAATCACCCACAGGTCTGAATTCTCCTCTTTAAACAAGCACTTTGCTTGGAAAGCCTTTAGTGAAGAGGCAGTGTGGCAGGGACACACCCCCTCCCCTTTTTTTTTTAATGCATAAAAAGCTGTGAATAAAACAAAGCTCTAGATCCTCTTCTATTCTATTGAAGATCTACGCCAGCTCCCTTCACTCTGCCAAACAATTGGTAATGCAGAGTAACTGACAGTGGGGTGAGCATGCAGCATCCATCAAGAATGCTGGCATGGAGAAACACATGCTTTGACAAACCCTGCTTATTCAGTACCCTTCTTTCCCATTCAGTCTGAGCCAAGGAGCACCAGGCACTCCTATTCTCTTAGAAGGAATGCTCTCCCTGAACCAACAGCTCACACCCAGGCAGTCATCCACACAAAATGAGCCAACACTTGGCGCAGGGCAATCTTGGGTTTTTCACAGATTTCTTCCCCCCACCTCACACCGAAGCAGCAGCCACTGAATTAAAGCAAGTCACTCTTTTGGTGCCCTTTGTAGCCCTCAATGAAGTTGGCACAGCAGACTGGTCCACAATACTAGATCCCCTACTAATTCCCTAAAAGATTGAGATTGTGATGTGACAGGGATTCATCCAATCCTAAGGTTTCTGGTCACTGATTAATTATTTACCTACTCAAAACCAGAGTTTCAGATGGCTTATTTTCCCGCAAAAAGACTTCAGTAGTCCCTCTTCCCAGTATTGTGAATAGTGTGATTCATATTGGTCTGCAGGTACCTGCTCCACCAATTTTACGTTCAGAATTTATAACCTCCACTTTGAATGTTGCTGCTCAACTAAGCAGTCCTGTGATCTCACCAGAGCCTTCAGACTTCTCCTCTTCCTCACTACCATCCTTACATCTTCTGGTTGCACTGCACCCTACATTAGTCTCTGCAGTTTGCATCTTACCTGAATGGATTTGTACAGTTAAATTATAATCTACTAAAGGCTAATTCATCTGGCACATTCATCTTGAAAAGCACAGCAGAGACAAGGACACTGACTTTTCTTGCATCAATAAAGCACTCTTCATGACTCAAGCATCCAATCAATTAAAATCATTTCCCAGAGACCACAGAACCACTGAAGGTTTGCCCAAATTCCACTTACCGAGCTACTTCTCATTAGCTCCACTAATTCACGTGCTTGGGTTGGCATATTGCTAGAGAGAGAGGACAGAAGATTTCATATGTGTGCTCCTAAAACAAATCATCTTCTTGAACTCCCACTCCTCATTTCAGGGAATTTTAGGATCAGTAGAAGTCAGTATAAGGAAAGCGATGCCTCAAAAGGATGAGCAAACATTGAAGGACCAAGTTGCACAAGTGAATAATCTGATCTGAAAGGACTTCAGCTGGGATGGCTGCCAAATGGCAGGCAACTGGTATGAGGTCTTCCCATCTCAGAGTTGGCTTAAGTGCATTTTGTTTGGAGAAAAGCACTAACACCTAGATGTACAGAGACATTTAGTTTAGTCCCTTCAAAACCTAGTGGGGGAGTTTGGTGCTTACACAGAAGCTGGGCATGTAACCAGCCTTTCTGATCTGGCCTTAAGTTCCTATGGCTTGTCTTATGGCTGGAAGATATTGCTTTTATTGTGGGAGAGTCCCAGGCTGGAGAGTCCCAGTCCGGCTCTGGGCAGGATGCGATGTCCACAGGCCAAAGCACAAACCATGCTGAGACACCAGCTGGAAACAAGCTCCTTATGTACCAGAAGTAGACTATGCTTGAGCTAATAAGCCCTGCCTCTCTCCAGCACCCACACAAATGCAGTTACATTATTTGGATTCCCAGAACCATATTGATCACACTGAGTCAGCTTTGCTTGGGGCACCCGTGAAATATTTAGTAGCTACACAGGTTTTGCTAGCTATCCTAAAATTCTCTTGCAGCTAATCTAAGGGCTGTTAAAGGTGTCACAAAAAGTCCTGGAAACAAATTGCATGAGTATCCATGGAGCAGGCATAGTGTGTACAAACCCTTGCACAGCCATACAAACTCTTACACATTTTGGTTCTTAACAGACTAGTAGATTTTTAGTTCGGGAGGACAAAGGAATTAATTCCTAGATGCTCATTCTGTTATTTTCCTTTGCACTGCAAACAGAGATAGTTTTTAATGCCATTAGTGTAGCAGTGGCCTTCTATTTGTTAGTTTGAGCCATGTTTCCCAGAAATCAAGGAATAAATGAGAGATGCACATGAATTTTTTCTCATTACAGATATTGCCTGGCAGTGAATCAGAGACTTGCAAACTGAAGACTGGGCAGAAAAAGGTACTGGTAGAATTAGAAGCATAACTAAGGCATTGGCTCAGAAATTATGGGCAGAAATCAAATAAAGAAAGAAAGTTTGTCTCTGATTTAGAAAAATAGGCACATAAATCCCCCAAACACTGAATTGAATTTAAAAAAAAAAAATCAAACCCACAATCAAAAATATGAGATCACAGAAACATGCTCAGTACAAGCAGATCACCAGTATTAACTCAACCTTGACATGTGTCTCAAAGGTAACCTGCCAGTACATCAGTTCTCACTCCTTTGCCCTTTCTCATTTGTGATTGTTCTTACCGCACTGTGGCATTTCTCTCTGCAACATTGAATCCAGCTGTTTCCTTAGAAGAGCCAGTGGAGAAGCCAAAGAGGTTCGGATTGAATTTCTTCAAGATATCTTAAAAAGAAAAAACACAGTGTTTAACCATTCACAGCACAAACAGCAGCATTGCCTCCTGCAGAAGGACAAGCCAGTTGAGTGGTGAGAATATGGACCTGAGTTTTCTCCTTATTCACTGTGACTTCATAGAAGCTACAGGCACACCTGCTTTGGAGACTCTAGTTACTGCCTTAATTTCATCACTGCAACTATTTCTCTCTGTGGACTTGAGAAACTGGGGTCTGGTGGCCCAGGAGATGCAGAGGTCTCAGGTGACTCACCAGTCTTGAATTAAAGTGTATTTGTAATAAAGAGTATTCATGGTTACTTTCTTTCATATACCAGAAGCAAACGCTCTGAAAATGGTCATCTGCGTCTCACTTCTCCCAGATAATAATATTTATGGTAGAGAATTAATTTTATTCACTTTTCTAGATTTCACTGAAACCCTCAGTGGGGAAGCATGATGCCTGAGCACTGTTTTTGTTACTGTGCCTGTAGCGATGTCTGAAACCTCTTTGTAGAGTCTCATTTATAATGCATAAATGAATTGTGCCTTCTGTTTTTCTTTGAACACAGTGCATGGTACAAGACAAAGCATATCAGATTTTATTACCAACACGGTCAGGTAATGTCAAACTGCTTCAACAGCATGAATCACATACAAATAGATCAACCATTGTAAACCAAGTCCTTTCCAATTTATTGTCACACTGACCACCTAATGGTTTCTATGGAAACTGCAGGGACCAATTACATAGAACATCAGGGCAAAAAATTTATAGTATTTTTAGATTTTTTTTCAGTGCTACGTAGAAACTTGAAATCATCAGGAAGAAGTATAGCCTTGTCACCAGCCCTACCTAGATGGACTGCTAATTGTTTCATAACCCTTCATTTGCACACAGCCATTACAGTCAATCACTGGAAAGCACAAAATAAGGGAGGGGTAGGACTGCCACGAACTTCTGTCACCTTCAGCATATTTATTCCTAATCATTTTGGTCAAAAGGATGATACAATCACATGCATGTCCTGTGATGTGGAGGGGCTGAATCGACTCTACAGCTAATCAGGTCAGTCTGGGTTTCAGCTGTGACTCACATGAACTGCTCATATCTACAAAAGATGGATATCCCCACTGTTTGCAAGGAAAGAATGACCATCTCCAGGTGTTTCCTAGTATCCATTTAAAAGACTTGCAGCGTAATACTCAACTTCTGCTTTTCTCATGCTTATTTTCCATGATACTCACTAGGTAAAGTAGCCTGGATCTCCAGGGTCTCGTCACCTCCAATACTACAAAGGGAAAGAACAAGATCACCAAGTAGGGTTAATCCTGCAACCATCTGTCTTATTGTCACCATATGTTGTTGCAGCAGCCCAAGAAGGAAGAAACAACCCCCACCAAAAACACTAATTTCAAATAATAAGGAGATAAACCACAAGAATTCAGAGAAAGTAGTGAAAGGATATTTCACATTAAATAAAGCAGGGCGTCAGTTACAATAGAAGCTATGCCTTCAGGCTGGGAAGAGAGCATACTTGTAGAACTGATTTTTCACATGAAAATGCTGGGATGCTCACCATACAAGAGCATATTTCCTCACTAAAGTTGCTCCACAGTACCTTGCTGAAACTACATTTATGTGCAGTTATGCATAGAAGAGACCGCATGAAATGCTCACTAACCATCTATCTGCAATTCTGCAATGTTGATTATGAAAAGATCCTCTGCCTCTACTATTTAAAAGCTGTCTGTGTGCATAGCCAATACACCATTACACCACTTCTGGCAGCCCCTACTGAAAATAATCTATGCCTGCAGATACATACAAAGCGGGGAAGAAAGAGCGTAGAAAAGAATGTCTACACATGCAAAGGCTTATAAACCATATGCCTGCCCATTTGAAGCAGGCAGTTTCCTTCCACTCTAGCATGGATATTGAGATTCATACTCTCTGATGTGCATTGTCTTTGTCCACTTCACAATAGCAAAAACAAACACCAAAAAAGCCCACAAGAATCATTCCCTTTCTCTTCCAGTCCTGACTCCTCCAATCCTTACCAAGCAATACTTGCTGTCAGCATCCTACCCCTGCATTTTCACCAGGTGACCCACACACTTATAACTGTGTGGACAAAAACAGAGAAAGAAAAAAATGAGCATTCTTACCTCCAGGAAAGTCCCCTCCAGTCTGTTTCTAGGTCAAGTGCTTTGGCTCCTACTGCAATCTGGAAAAGATGGAAAGAACAATTACAAAATGGTAACAGGAAAAAGGTCCTACAAATTTAGGTAAGACACACATCAAATTTTGAAAGTGCTGAACAATTTTGGTAACATTACTCTGCAAGTAGCCAAGCTTTTGCAATATCCCAGTTTTAGAATAAATGCTCCGTGTCCTTATTCATCACCACACACTGGCCTCTGGGCAGCCCTGCATCTCTCATGCTTCAATTTCACAGGCTTCACCTCATATGCAAAAGCAACTCATCCAGATGGTAGACCATGGAGCATCGGAGGAGATCAGAGTGTAAGGTCAAGGATAGAAGGCTTTAAAACTACTATTTTAGCAACTATTGGGACCCAGATTAACATCAACTGCTTTGTATTTGTCTGGATTTTTCTGATGGAAAATGCTTCATCCTGGCATTTCCTGAAGAAAGATGATTCTGAGAGATTTAATAATCCAGGAAAAAAAGGCCTAAACACTGATGAAAAATTCCCAGCCAGTTTTAGCTGTACATAAATCAGAGGAGATGCTTTTTAATCTGCCAAGAAAACAAATCTTTGGTGTAAAATCCATTTTTTCTCTCCTGGATCCAGCCTGCTAGTCTAACATACAGACTTGATGAGGGCTTGATGACAGGACTTTTTTTGCCAATATAGATAAGCATGTTGGCGTATCTGTTGCTTTCACTGTGCATTGGTGCTAAGAAGTCAAACAGATGCATTCTAGCCAGTGACATGACTAAATTGCTCAATGTTTCATTAATCTCCAAGTGCATCCAGACTGAGAACAGCCTTCCTTCCTGTACTGTGAACTATATTATCTTTCAAAATTAAATAAATAAATACATAAAACCATCAGAACAGAGACCTTTGTGATGAATTTGAGTATCTCACAGGACTGGGACAGACCTCCATCAAGGGGTTCTTCTATAGCTTTATCATTTATTAGTGGTTTCACTTAATTTTGTATTCTTCAAAAAGCCATGCTACCAACTCAGCCATAGACACTGACTGCATTCAGGGATCTTGTGGGAAATACCAGGAGGAAAATCAATGCCTTAGTGGACTTTGCTGCTGCAGTCTCTCTGTGCCAGGGATGGTTATGCACTAAAAAGCACACAATGCTGCTGATGTACTTGTGTGCAGGAAGTGTGTGCATGTGTTCATGTGTGGGAAATGCTCTGTCATTTTTTCTGGCCTCCCAAATAAATCACTTAATAAAACCCCTAATCACACCTTGCTGTGGCAATGGCAAATAATAGGAATTGCATGAATAATGGCAATATGAGAACCTGCCTTGCTCAGCTCGAGACAGAGACCTCCAGCATCATAGTCTGGCCCTTACTAAAAGAATTTAAATTCTTAAAATAAGAGGTATGTGCTAGTGCACATGTCTAGCACTAGATGTGGGGGAGGAAATAAAGCAATTAAGTTTAAGAGTCATTGCAATGGATAGGAGGGAGAGTTGTAGGTCTTTACTGAGGTCTTCTAAGAAAAGCTCAAAGCTCAGCAGCGGGGGGAAAGTCAGGATTAAATCAGGTCAGACAAAATCAGTTTCAAAGCTAATGAGGAGGTGCATGATGCATAATGAAGACATGCACACCAGCCTGGAAAATAAGCCTGATCATTTAAGTGCTTCAGTCCCTTCAACTCCCTCTGAGCTCAACAGGAGCTGAAGCTGCTAGAATGAGCATCAGTTTAGCTCAGGAGTTAAAATTCATGGGAACTGTTGACACAAATGTTTGCTTTCATCCCATGCCAGAACAATTCTGTAGTGCTGTGTAATTCTGGAACTTTTTCTCAGAAAACTTCAGTGCAGATCTGCAGTATTCCCTGCTATTCTTTCCTGGGGCTTTTTGATTGTTTTTTTTTCTTTTGGTGCCTAATTTTTTCTTTTCAGCTTGCATTCCTTGGTACTTGAAATACATCAGAGCTTTAACTGGAAGATGTCTAATCTAGGAAGCAACATCTGAAAGCAAAATTCTGAAATACAGGAGTTTTAGAATTATCTCAAGTGAGAAGCACTTCATTCTGCAATCAATTATTTTCATGGGAATTTTCAGCAAAATCTCTCATTGCACAAAAAATTCCAATTGCTTCCGTCTTTTTTTTTATGTCAGAAAAGACTATTCCTATAAGGCAGCCACTTCCCTTTTCAAAAACACTTGAATAAACTGTGTGCAATAGAGAATGGGATCCCATTTCTGTCCTGGCCTGAATTATTCATTACCGGATTACACAATTGCCAATGTCACTCATATCCCTTCAGGCTATTTCTTCGCAAAGGGAACCAGGCAGACGAGTTTTGCTTTGCCGAGCCAAAGCAATTTGCTTTCTATCTGATGATGCCTGATGTGACAACATCTAGGTAGAAACTCTCAATTGCTCTTTTCATTCTAAACATGGGAATACTGCAGCACTCACAGTCAGGGAATCTCCCAGTGCTCCTATGACTCTGATGTCAGCAGGTCGTAGCTCATGTACTAAAAAACAGTAGGAGAATAAAAGGAGGATTATTGACAACTGACCAGATACTGTTTAACAGAATAAAGATGCAAGTCCTAGGTTCCAATCCGATGGCATTTTTAGGGAGAATGAGGTTCAAGTTCTGTGTGTCAGCTGGGCAAAAGGCTTATGCCTTCTTGTCTTTGCTTGCATCAGTGTACCCAAATAACATGGAAAGCTGGAACTTAAAAGAGCTTAAGAAAAAATGGAAACAGTTTAAATATGTTTGCAGATACATACATTTCATCTCTTTTAACTGGCTTACATGTTTGGGTCATAGATCAATATATTCTAATTAAAAATCTCCCTGTAAAGCCTTCCAAATACATGCAACATTTGTATAGTTTCCAGTTTGCTGAGCCAGTAACCTTCCTAGGTAATTTTAATCTGCCACATTGCTGTATGATAAATGAAACATGAGTATGATAAATGTGATCACATTTATCCACAGAGAGCACACCTGCTGTCATGCAGAACTTACTGTGTATGGCAAGAGAGACTTTCTTCCTTTGCTGCTAAATATAACAGCTTTTATTGTTTACTTTCCACCTAGGATGTGCCATTTCAACATCTTACTGGTTTTAAAAACAAAAGATTAAATCCTTCATATTTTTGATTTTAGCTTAGGAGTTCTTTCTCACCTGATGTTGGGACACGACTAGATGGAGACTGTTCAGGACACGATAGCTCACTGCCCCAATTCTGAAATGGCAAGTTACAAAATTATTTCACCTTGTGGTTAAAAGATAATACAGAATTCATGCATGATTTAGTTGTACAGTGAAGGGCAAAACCGAGTTAAGACACAGATCTCAGTTTGGTGCCTATATAGCTCAACAGTCTTTTCCTCCTCTTTGTGGAATACTATCCAAACAATAATTACTTTTGGTGACATTTTCTAGCCAAAGCATAAAATTTTTCCAAAGGCAAAACACTTCATCACCAAATATTGCTTATGACAAAGTTCTGTAAGGAGGATTATTTTTTTCTTCTCTCTACAGCCTGGAGATTTTGTCCGTGACCTAGAAGATAGGGTCTCCAGGTTTGAAGTCTTGCTTTGTCTTGAAAGATATCAGATGCAAAAAAAACCTCAACAAAATACAAAAAAAAAAAAAAAATCCTCTGCAAAGTTATAATGTTATATTAATGTACTATATTATTAATGTATTATTATATTAGCCAGTGAAGGGCCTGAAACTTAAGTCCTGTGAGGTGTGGCTGAGAGAACTGGGGTTGTTTAGTCTGGAGAAAAGAAGGCTCAGGAGAAACCTTAATGCTCTCTACAATGACCTGAAAGAAGATTGTGATGAGGTGGGAGTTGGCCTCTTCTCTCAGGTAACATGCAAAAGGACAAGGGCAAATGGCCTTAAGTTGCACCAGGTTTAGGCTGGATATTAGGAAAAATTTCTTCACTGAAAGAGTGCTCAAGCACTGGAACAGTCTCCCCAGGAAAGTGGTGGAGTCACTATCCCTGGAAGCGTCCAAAAAACAAAGTAGACCTGGAACTTTGCAATATGGTTTAGTGGGCATGGTAAAAGTTTGTACTTGATGATCTTGGATGTCTTTTCCAACCTTAATGATTCTACTACTATATTATCATTCCCCATGTACTTTGCTAGGAACCTATTCTTTTCCCAGAAACTTTCAAAAAGGGCTTGCTTTCCCTGAAAAAACTTTGAAGCTTTAAAAGTTTCAGTAAAGAAAACTGTCAGGGTCTAAATAATTGTACTTTACCATACATTTATATAGGTGATATAATAGTTATTATGTGTATTCCACCAACTGAAGAAATTGAATCAACCACGCATGGCAGAACATCTTGGTTTACCAGCAGAGACAGCAGAGAAATGTGCCACCCGTGCTTTTTGGTGTAATAGGTTCCTCTATCAGCCATTGAAGTCTGGTTGCAGAGGCTATAAAAGACAGCTGGGCTTATTTTTAAATCGGAGAGGAAACTGTTCCTTTACTCCTTCTCTGCTGTTCCTTTCCTTTATCACTTCAAAAGCTGTTGCTGTTGAGATTCAGTGGAAATGCAAGAATAACCCACTAAAAGTATAACTCTAGCTCTACAGATGAAAATCTCATTGCAATCCTGCAAACTATAGCTTGCTAAAACAGTAACTGTTGCTTTTTGTAACCCTCAAGGCACACAGAGATTTTGATAATTGGGCTAGTCATAAGGACGCCCAGTAAGCCAAACTATCCCAGCCCATTTTGACTGCCAATAAAGAATGGCTCCATTTCTTCAAGTCCTACACACAAAGTTTGTTTCTGTATCTTGTTTAATCTACCTCGTGGTAGTTGCTCAGTCATGGTGGAAATTGGGTCCCTTTGAAAATGGGATTCCTATCACCTTTGTATTCGGTCACATTTTCAATATGTAAAGGTGACTGCCCTCTACAGGTTAAGCTTACTTGAGTATATGGAAGTACAGTGCCTCAAGAACAGAACAACTAAACCTTCCTCAGATCACAGTCACAGAATCACAGAATATGCTGGGTTGGAAGGGATCCACAAGGATCATCGAGTCCAACTCCTGGCCCTGCACAGAACCATCCCTAAGAGTTAGTTACACCACATGCCTGAGAGTATGATCCACACACCTCCTGAACTCTATTTGGGGTTTAGGATTCTAGGCTAAATTCTCCATAAGGCGCGGAACTTTCTATCTGAATTAATGATGCATCCCAGGTTACTTACCTATACAACTGCACCAATAATACGATTAATTTTGTTTGGCTTTTAGGTAAACATTTGTTTACACAGGAAAAAGTGTGATGCAAGATAGACTTCCCTTTTCAAAAATTCGTAATAATTTATGTAATCTATAAATTCAGTGTGATGTGTTAACAGCCACCAGATGCAGCTTTGCACAGTTTGCCTAAAATGCAGCGAAAGATGCAACAATCACCTCTATTGGCTCACTAGTGGGCTCCACAGGTGTGTAGTTGCTATTCTTGTATGTTCCCAGGAATGGCTTGTTCTGGGGAAAGAGGAAACAAAAATAAGAGAAATAAGAGAAATTAGGCAATAAGCACATAGCACAAACCATAGCAAGTGATATCAAGGCATCGTATCACCAAGAAAGCAACCGCCTGAGTTGCAAAATTGGAATCTGGATTTTGAAACCGTGGTCTTTCCTTGAAACTTGCAAAATTTGTGTTTAGAACCTTATGGCAAAAATTACATATGCCAGATGCCAACTGCAGTTTAACATTTTCCTCTCCTAAGCTTCCACAATTAGACTTTAAGAGTTGTTTAGTCCTTTCAAGAGACACTGATGTAAAGCCTAGACAAACCTGGGCAGATCTTCTGTGTCAGCAGAAGGGAGATGAAAGATTACTTACTGAAAAGGTCATTCTTTCCTCTAAGAGAAGCCGTAGAGATTGCTTAGTTATTTTTTTGCCCTACCAATGCAGCATGCATTGAGGAATACGTACATTGTATAGGCTAAAAAATCTCACCCAGATGTCCACTTATTGCAATTAAGAAAAATTCCAGTGTCTGCATAAGGAGGTCTTAACAATCACTAAAATTACAAGGCAAGCTTTTATTGTACATGAAGTTGCCTTGAACAAATAAATTTCCATAGCTACTGGCACTTCTATCAATGACTTTTTAAAAGCACTGTGGGCTTACCATTTCTGCAAACAATGGCTTTTCATAGAGATATGGCTTTTCATAGAGATATAGCTTTTCAAGGGATATAAAACTTTTCTTTGCCTACTTCTGAACAGCAACATCTTTGAATAAGAGTGGATGAAGGGAAAGAAGTATAAAATCCACACTATTTGGCACTGAAGTTGCTTACAATTTAAGCTACCTGGAAAGATTACTGGGTAAAAGAAATGTGATTAATTTGAGTGAATATGAGGACTTCTGAAACATGCTGATTAATAACTCAGTAGATCTTCCTTTTCTGACAGGATGGACACAATATGGACAAAATCCTCCCATATAACTTGAACACTTGTCTCCAGAACTGAGAGAGCAACTCAGCTCCCTGATCTATTCAGTTCTTCAGCCTCCTTGTTGAAACTGCTGAAGAAAGGGAGCCAATTATCGCTGCCTGCAGTGGTCATTTCCATGTGCCGATACCTAGCAACTGTACTGCAAGTTCAGCAGCTTGTTTTGTAACTGCAGAAGCAGCTTCCAAAGAGTCTGAAGTATCCCTGCTATGGATCAGACCAGGAAAACCAACCTGCTACTAATTTAAGAGATAACAAAATCTGGATTTTTCAAAGCTGCTGTGGTGCCCAAAATCCACTGATTTGGATAGGAAAGTTAATGCAGCATATTCTCATTTTTGCTGCTTAAGTTGCCTCTGTATTTCACAAACAACAAAACACAACCTCTGCTACAACTGAAAACACACAAATCAGCACGTTGTCAATCAGTATTCATGGCACAGCAAAAGGGCAACAGGACACCAAAGCAGGTACATGAGAGCACCTGCCACTCAGAGGTAAGCAGAGAACAAAGCTTTAAGTAAACTTGTTCCAGATATACTGAACCCCTGCTCTCTGCAGCAAGTACAAGCACACACAGCCTCCTGATAGCCAGCTTCCGTGATGTGGGTATATTTACCTGAGCTGGACAGCCAAGGACGATGTCAGCCGCGAAATCAAATGAGTCAGCTTTCTGGCCTACAGGCTGTAACTGGAAACAAAGACAAAAGAACCTATTCTGTAACTGTGTCAGCTCATCTTAAATTTGTATAACAATTCCAATCCAAAACAAACTAAATATACCTGTCACATCTATATAAAGGTGCCTGTATTTACAGACCTTGATTTACCCAAGGCTGAAATGCAACTACTTCTCAGAAAGAACATGGCAACTGCATAACAAAAGAGCAACTCTAGAAAGAAGCTTAAAATGGGAAGTGGAAAGCTACAGTGGGATCAGTTTAAACTCCTGGAGGATTTTGGCAGGCACATGAAGTACCTTGGAATTTCGCCAGAAGGCAAGGTCATAAACTCTCTTCTCTTGCATAAAAGATGGTTAAGAGTGCTTCATTTTTTTATAGCTAAGCTGCATGATGGCATCTCCAACAAAAGGCTGTTTATGTGTAGAAGATAAAACCAAATCTAATTAGAGGTACTGCTTGATGATTGCAAGCAATCATGTCAGCTGTTAAGATATTACCACAAAGTATATAGAAATTATATTCAGGACCTAAGATGCTGCCTCCAACTGCATGTGTCATCCCCCTGCACTGCAATGCTAAGTAAAATGGGTTTGCTTAAGCAACCTTTAACGACTTACTTTCATGGAGCTTTACTCATTTCCAAAAGTAGTAAAACTGAACTGAATTAAAGCCATTTCAATTCCTAATGAGACATTCACAACACATAGATTTAAAACAAACTTCTAAGTAACCCATTTTAGACTAACATATGCAGTTATAATTCTTTATTTGGTGGTTTGGCATCCCAGCCCATAGAAACATCATTCTTATTAAATGCTATCCTGCCTTGAATGACAGCGGGTGAAGTAGACTTGAAGTTGCTCAGCTGAAGTCACAAATGACTGCGAATGACTGCGATCATGCACTTACAGCACCCCTCTCCTCCCCACACACTTTAAGAACCAGGTGATTCTAGGCTGAGAGCAGTGTCAAAATCAGAGGGTACTTGACTAGCTAAGAAGATACAAACACAGGTCCAGTGCTATCCAGGCCTTAATTGCAATGCTTATTGCAGAGATCATTTTAATGGTAGTCAGGTCTAGGTAAAGACCTCGTTATGTGCAGAGCCTGTCACCTTACCATGGCATTCCAGAGAGCCTTGGCAAGCTGAGAATGGCCTTTCTGGCTTGGATGGAAGCAGTCAGGTGAAAAGTAGGAGACTTCTGGACGCCCATCCTACAAATGAAAGCATAAAGGACATTGGAGTGTAGAAGAATCCACATAGTTCCAGCTTGGGATTGCTGAGACTGAATCAGAGTCAGTAATGAGACATTAATGCTACTTGTTCTCCTTGCTCCATTGCAGAAAGGCCCATGATTATCTGGTGATACAAACTGTACTTCAGCAGATCCATGAGCTACAGAAACACTTAGCTAGAGATAATTATGTGCCTCCATGGGCAGATCCACCCAGAAGCAGCAAACCCACCATTTTCAGTTACGTGTGCAGTTCCTCTTCAGGTTCTGAAATAAGGATGGGTTTCTCTCCTCTGCATGTCATCAGAACTGGCACCACAGGCAACAGGCACCATTGGGCTCTGCAGTACCTTTACATGGTAACAAGCATGTTATGAGGCTTTAGCAGAAGGAACAGAGCCCAACTGCTTTTACACAGCTGTGAGTTTTGAAAGGAGCAAGAAGCAAGTAATTGTTCAATGGAAGGCAGCCAGGCTGATGAAGTACACCAGTGCAGTCTCCATTCTGAGCAAAGCTGTACTTTGACACAAATATCTTGGTTTTCACACAAGTACTGAGATTAGGGCCAGAGATGACTGACATAACTTTTTTGGTCAGAGCAGTCCTTCCTCAAAACTTGAGCAGGTCTTGATTTGTGGTGGTTGGATTTGCTTTTTAGAGACCTACTGCCAAAATTTGCATCTATATCATATCTTTTGCCAAGTTTGGAGGCAGAGTTTTCAGTTCAGGAACATCTGAAGATTGTGTGAGATAAAAAGGAAAAACAGCATCTTGAACTTTCTTAAAACCTGAACTAATGCTTGTGAGACTATAAAAAAGTTCACAAATATTTTGCTTCTTCTGTTTTTATTTCTGTGTTCCCTATGCTCAGTACCAAAATCCCTAAGGATGACTTTTTTCACAGACACCAGCTTCACACACACACACACACACAAAAAAAAAAGGCCTGTTTTTCCTGTGAAGCTTTCAGTCAGTTTTCCAAATTTGTCTGTAGCAGCATCTGGACTTTTCAAACTTTCACTAGATATTGTGAACATTTTCAGGATTAGTCCAGTTCAATTATACCAGAGTAATCCCTGCTCAATATTATGTCCCACCTGCTCTTATTTCCAGGTGAGATGAGGAAGTGCAGGTGAATATGAAACTTAGCAAATGCAGTTCCAGTTTTAGAGAATGTTTGGGACTTTTACTAGATTTATAGTTTACTGGAACTTGCCATTCAAGGAACTGAAACATACATAAACATATACATATGAAATACATAAAACTACCTTTTCTTTTTTTTTTTTGCCATCAGATCATAGGCAAACTTCTCTTTCTGTCAGACACAGAAGAATGAGTTATGGGACATAAAGGGGAGCTGATGCCGTAGTCTCCACTGAGCAATTCCTCTATGTTGCTATAAGTACTGTAACTTAATAACTCTGTTTTTTATTAAATATATTGCATTTTCAGAAAGAAAAATATTTATGTATCCTTAAGAACATATACAAACAAACCTCTTAAATCAGGTTTTGATTCATTTTCCAAAACAGTAATTGATCTCAACAGCGTAATACATAAAACTAAGAACTGATATGAAGAAATCTGTTGTACTATACCAAAAAGCAACAAATTCTAATAAGAAAAGCACTATTTTGCATATAGTCTCTACAGGTTAGATACCCACACTTAGTCCTTTAAATGGAGAAGTCACTTTATACCATACCTGACGTAAAGGAATCTCCACATTTTGGAGGAAAGGTTGGATGACCACTGTGAAATTTTCATGAGTGTCATATCTGCCAGACTCTATTAGTCTCTGAATGCCAAGCTGCAAGAAACAAAAACCCACAACCAATACTCCAGCAACATCTCTGTATCATAACTGGTTTGTTTGGTTTTTTGAAAACCCGAGAATAAAAAGGAAGTTTTACTTGTAAACTGAAATAGCCACATATGTTGGCAAAAGGTGTGTCTTGCAAAGTGGTTGAGAAGGCTGGAACACAATACTGCAACAGTTTGTCAGGGACAGGATTTTGGTGGCTAAACTCGCACCTATTCATTTCTCTACTAGGAAACTGAATTTTTCTGAAGAGTTCTGCTGCTAGTTTTGGTCACATGGTGTTTTGGATAGCTTCAAATAACCTCCTGCTTAGTTCATAGGGCTCATTTGTGTAAAATACTGATATGATATATTGCTTGGTAATCAAGATCTCGCGTCAACTGGAAATAAAATAACTGTATCACTCTTGATAAACATACCTGGTAAGCTCTGGTGGCTTCCCTCACCATCGTTAAATTTTCTGAGTTTTCTTCTCCTGTGAAAACACAGCTACACAGATAACTGTGGGAGAGAAAATGGGAATAGAGAGAGTTAGACATCTGATAATGCAGATGTCCCCCTTTGCCACCCAATGCCCTCATGTCATGGGAGTAATAAGGAAACCCATACAGTCATGTTTCTGTGAAAACATCTTATTGTTCTTGCTATTGTGATTTCACCCTTAGTCTTATTTTCTGTGTCACATCAATGATACTACTCTAAGTAATTTTTGTTCACACCCAGTTATATCAAAGTAATGTACATAGCACAGAGGATAGTTTGTTGCATTAATTACACCCTGGAATCCAAAGGCCCTGCAGACTGACAGAGGTGCTCATCAGTCCCCCTGAAACTAGAAAACAGGTCTTTGAAATGTACTGTCTGTGTTACCTCTGAGCTGATACCTTTCCAATCAACAATTTCTTTTGCATTCCCAAGACAGAGAATTTGTCCCTGTCTAAAAGGTCAGCAATTAATGCAAATTACCCATTGCACTAAAGCCTCTGAAACAGGAGAAACCTTTTTACTCTGCAAATACTTCAGGTTCCCACAGAAGGCATGCAAATGCAAATGTTTGTGGACCTCAACCCCATCTTGAAGAACCCTGTATCAGAAAATTTAATCCTAGCTCAGTGAGGTGTACATTACGGACAGTTCTAGATATGAAAAATACACAGGTCTTCCGACAACACTTGTGTCAAAGCCAAGAGAAGGAAATGCCATCAAGCAGGGTCATGATGTAAGCACAGCATGGGAAGTCCATAGGACTGTGCTGCTACCTTTGAACATTAATTCAAATTATGAGAGAAGTATAGAATAAGAACATGATTTATCATCATGAGCAGTAAGCTCAGGAACAAAAGGAAGTTAAATAAGCCTTACTCTGCTAAGTAAGTTGGGCACTGAACTTGAGTATCCACAAATAACTGCCTCAGAGAGAGGACATCCACCACATTAACCAGACTCACTAGAGCTTTTGGAACCTGAAAGGTAAGTCAGACTTTAGCTTAGAAGAAACTGGTTACAAAGCCCACAGTGCATTTATTTTACCCTGAAGTCCAAGCATTTGACACCCCTTCCCTTTCTCCACTGTTGGAAGGAAAAAAAATAATTAAAAAGAAGAAAAATCAACAACCTCCCCACCATCACCACACTCCCGCAACTCAGCTTTTGATCCTTTTCCTACACCACGGTTCAGTGTTACTGTCATTTCAGATTGCATCTCACTACTTGTAGACAGACAAGACAAAAGAAAATGTTTTAGTAGAAGTCAATGGTGTGTGTTTGGTACCAGAATGAAAAAAAACACCACAAAATCAAACAAACATCAGTCAGTCAGCACTTGCCTCCTTGTGCAGAATATCAAGAGTTTCTTGGATCCTTTTGATGTAATTCTCAGCTGAGTAGTGTTCCTGATAGAAATAGAAGAGATTACTGCTAAGGCATTTAGGTTGGGAGGCTGGAGAATCACAGTAATTCACTTCCTTTTCTGCCATACAACACTGTGGTTAGTAGAATGTTCTTGCTTCCTTCTAGAGATCAGGAATTTTAAGCATATCAATCTAAAATGTAGAAAGGCTTGGTGAAATTTTGGATTTAAAATAAACTTTCTTGAGCAGCAGTGTATTTAACTCAACTCCACTGGGCCCTTCATGTAAAAATGCAGGAAGGAACCCCATCTGAATGCATGCTGAACAGCATAAACCAAGCCCCCATAAGTGTACTCACAGTCAGCTGATAAGCGTTCATAAAATTAGGTGAAATCATTGCTAGTCAAGGTCATAGCTATAAATAAAGCTATAAAACTTGGCAGCAGCAGCAAAGATGCCTAGCAAGGCTTGTGCAGAAGTAGAAAATTTTGCAAGCAGAAGGGGTTGCAGGAGAATTGAAAATGCTCATAAGAAGTTAGCATTAAAGGCAAGAAAGCGAGAGCTGGCAGTGAAAGGTGGCCTCTCCCTGCCACCTGCCCACTCAACTCCCCTGATCTCCTTATGGCAGCCCTAAAGGCTTCTCCACAATCCGCAGAAGCATAAACTTCAAGTAAGACTGAGCACTGCAGCAAGTCCTCTTATACATACCTTTACCTGTTCCTAGCACGTCCCTAGCTATGAGTTATGGGGTGATGACAATTGTAGGATTCTACTGCTTTGAACTACCACTACCATTCTTGGATGTCTGAAAAGGCCATGCTAGCAGCAGAGCAATTTCCGCACCAGAGGAGTGAAGCTTTTCTTCCCTTCCATTTTTTGCTCATGTCAAAAGACAGTAGCAAAGATAGTGGTTCTGATCCTGGAGTAAGCCAGAGAAAACAAAATCATCCTACTCTGTTGCTGGTAATATTTTATATCAGGGTACTGTCAGCAACAACCCCCATCAAAACATACAGCAGCCTATATATAACTCACATTATCTCTGTGAAGGCCGCTAAGGATCCATAGATTTCCCTTGATGTGTTTCTACATTGGCACCACAGTCCCACTACAGTTTCAGTTAACCAGTTCTACTACTCACAGGGTCTTTGCAATAGTTGCACAAATCATTGGCTCCAATAAACACAGTTATGATCTTCCAGTCAGCACTGAAGTCAATTCTCTGTGCAATAAAGAAGAAAATAATGAGCCTGAATTTCTTTGACTTTATGATATGCATGAGGTGTCATTGCAGGTGGATCTTTCATGTGATCAACACCTATTTCTATTCATGCTGTAAGATTAAAGGAGTTCCAAACAACTTACATCATCAGTTTTCATAAGTCTCAGGAGATTTCTTGCTTGGGCTGGTAAGTGCCTGTAAAGAAGGACAACTAGTGAGTGAAAGAAACATCCGTATTGAGAGATCAACATAAGCATTCTTCAGACACCTTAAATCAAGTTGCAGATACCAGAAATGTTGAGTAAGGAGACAGTACAATACTTACATTGCTGTGAACAAATTACTTGATCAAATCACATTTTGGTGAGAAAATCAACACCAAATTGAACTTGAACACTGATTTTACTCAAGTTCAGTAATTAATCTGGAACCATAAGCTTAGCTCCTATTACAGTGCTTAGCACCTAAAACAGCTGAAAACCCAGACACAGTAATGTTTGTAAGCAGATGGCCTGTTTAGAACTAGGCTGCTATCAACCTATTCCTTGTAGACTAAAACAAGGGAATGCCCAGTCCCAATATTTAGCTGACCTCTTCAGCAACATCCCCCTGCAAAGCTTAGGTGTTTCAGAGTTCGTTGTGCACCCCTCCCTCATTTCTGTAGCCTGCACTGAGTCAATACTTAATTTTCCACTATGTGTAACAGCTCTGTGCACACAACTTTTCCAGGGTAATTAAAAGTCCAAGAAACTTTCAAGATTACTCAGGCAAGCTGGCAGGCTCACTGTTTTTCAATAGCCAGATAAGTGGTCTCTCTCTCTTTTTTATATATATACACACACACATATATATATCCCAAGTGCAATGGATTTTGGGTTACCTAGGCTGAGCGCTTCAACTTTGTTTGATTACCCTTACAAATGTGCAAAAAGGGAATGTGGTCAGAAAGCTTTGGCCTTCCGGGCAGCTCTGTAGCATGCAATGAGCTGCATCTCCCTCCAGGCTCTCACTGACAGTCTATCATTTCTGGGAGCATATCAGCTGACATCAATAAACGTGGCACTTGTTTTGTATGGCAACCAGAGGTTAGCTCTCCTTTGCAATACTTTGTTTACTGCAGGAAAAAGAGATATCTCTCACCACCCTCCTCCAGCTGAACACTGATCTGACACTGACATAAGGGTATCTACTGGGGAATGAGCCCTGTGGTACATCTACTTGTGACACAGACACTGTATGCATGTAATAGTTCTGATCACAGTTACCCTTGTCCAATGTCATAACCTACTTATTTATATTCCAAACCTATTACAAGCCACAAGTGGTCACAATTTCCTTCTGTTCTTACTGTGGAAACCCCTAATCTAAGGCGTTGACTTCGATATTGATGCAGAGGAAAACACCACTTATTGATCTGACAGTCCACAACATCTTTGATTTCTCATGCAGTCAGTGAGGTGCTGATGCATATCCTGGGCCAATGCAGTCAGTAAGATCTCACAACATCTTGAATGAAATAGTGCCAGCAATCACCCATCTTTGAACTGCAGTTTCAACCAAATTTAGATCTTGATGAATGGAAACAGTTTTCTAATGGGAAATACTGATATTCACAGTTCCTGTCACTGGTTTTCTCCTTAACCTCCTTTTTTTTCATATGAAATCAGAGGTTTCAGACAGGCTTTGGTTCAGCAACATTCTTCAGATCTATCCTTAACTCCATCATGTACTTAAACCCTTTAGCAATGAACGCAGATAGACTTCAGAATATTTTGCTGAATGGGACCTGCATTGCTATGTTGCCATCAAGTTCACTAAAGAGCTCTTCAGAGTAGCCACGGATTTTATTTTAAGAAACCCTTATACCAAAGGGGTTTCCAAAAGCTGGTAAGGCTGCAAAATTATCTGATTTCAGAAAGGTTCCAGCACCTCTGGAAAGCACCTTCCAGATTAGCACCATAAAGCAAGACAGGGCAGCCAACAATTCTTAAATACCAGCATTAGCTGGTGGACTTTTTTTGCCCTATGAATCATTAGAAAATGGATATTTTTGGCTGATGAAGAATAAATGCTGAATTGCATCATCATCATTCCAGGGCCAAATACCTAAAGCAGGAGAAACATTTCTGTATCTTGCAATACATTTCAATAGTCAATGAGGACACATTCTTCTTCTCAAGTACATCAAGAGCCAAAACACGACAGAACAGAACCCC